AAGGAAAGGAAAGGAAAGGAAAGGAAAGGAAAGGAAAGGAAAGGAAAGGAAAGGAAAGGAAAGGAAAGGAAAGGAAAGGAAAGGAAAGGAAAGGAAAAAGGGATTTTGTCTGTTCTGGGGCTGACAGTGATGGATGGGGAGGATCCAGCTCCAGCATCCATCTCCATTCCCTGCTCCAGTGGCACCTCAGGATGGGGCTGGGGGACAGGTCCCTGACCCTGCTGCCCAGGTTGGCGTCACCTGCTCCAGGATGTCTGAGTGCTCCCAGCTCGGGCTCCCTGCACAACCGGAATTTACGGAATTGCTCTTTCCAACCTGCTGTGAAATCCCATCCATCTTCCTTGGCAGCAGCAGCTTTTAGGGAAGAGCTGCTGCTCCGTGATGCACGTTACGGATGGGGCGGAAAACTGACAGGTTTGGAGCGTTTGCAGCCAAAAAAAACCCAGGGAATTATTAGGGATGACAAACGCTTCCCATTATTCCCAGCTCCGGTGCCCGTCCCTCGGCAGGCACCCATGGGAACACAGCTGCTCCCGAGGCGACACAAATGAGCGTCAGGAATTCGGGGATCGAGGCAGCCCCTGGAGAAAAATCAGGAATTGCTTTGTGAGTTATGGTGCAGCTGCAGGATCTGGATGGGAATCATTAAACCGGGATCCTTCTGCCAGGCCGCTCAGCTGAGGGCTGGAAAATGGCAAGTGGATGTTAAAAAATGGAAAAACCCTTGATGGAAACGGCAAAATTCCTGCTGAGGGATCGTTCCCAGCAAAGAATTTAATCTCAGTGTTGATGGGGACAGCTGAAGTAAAATCTGGTCAGGAAAATGTTGGATAAAGGATGGAAGAAGTTGTTTTGGCAGTGGGATGATGAAACCAAGAGAGCTGATGTCACTGGGTCATTCCCCTGGATCCCTGGGAGTGTCCAAGGCCAGCTTGGATGGGGCTTGGAGCACCCTGGGATAGTGGGAAGTGTCCCTGGCCATGGATCTGGATGGGCTCTGAGCTCCCTTCCCACCCAAAGCATTCCAGGATTTGTGGTAAACACGAGACATCCCAATCCCCACCTCAACCAGGAAAGCCAAAATGTGGATATTTGGGGGTGAAAAAAATCCCTAAAATACCATACAAAGATCACCTGGGTTCTTTAGGAATCCTATCAAGCTCTGGGCTCTCAACCACCACGGTCACAGATCCATCCCAGGATGAATCCCAAGAAATCCATCCCCCTCAGAGGGAAGCGGATCCTGTGCAGGGCTGTGCCTTAATCCCAAAACCAGGATTAAAAAGAGCGTTTTGTCTGCTCTGGGCTCTGGTTTTTAACCCTTGTACTGAGCAGGACAAACTTGAGGGCAAGCGGAGAACTCCAGGCCAAAGGAGCAGGTTTGGGAGCACCAGGATGATCCACACCCCCGGCCGAGGAGCTGCTGTCACTTTGTCACAAGACACCTCATTTCCATCTTGGCACAAAGAGGCCACTCCAGGGACAAAATTCCCTGCAGGGAAGGACAAAGGGCTGAGGGTGGGAGAGGACCACAACTGGTGAAGAACATCATCTTCTTCATCCAGCCCTGCCTTGGACACTTCCCCACTTCCTTGGGGCAGCCCCAGCTTCTCAGAATGTCATAAATAAACTGATTTTTGATTAAATCTCTCCTGTTTTTAACATACTCCATCCCCAAAAGTAGGGATGGTCTGGAGAACATCAAGGCAGCGCTGAGGAGGAAAAGGAAGAGAGAAACTTGGATCTCTTGGACTCCTCTGTGCTGAAGATGCTCTGGGTGACCCTAATCTATCCCATTCTTTTGATTCCCGATCTATCCCATTCTTTTGATTCCTAATCTATCCTATTCTTTTTGATTCCTAACCCAGCCCATTTCTTTTGCCAGTTTAAATGTAAATATAAATATAAATATAAATATAAATATAAATATAAATATAAATATAAATATAAATATAAATATAAATATAAATATCAATATCAATATCAATATCAATATAAATATAAATATAAATATAAATATAAATATAAATATAAATATAAGTAAAAGTAGAAATATAAATATAAATACAAATATAAATACAAATATAAATATTATAAATATAAATAATATAAATATATTTATGAATATAATTTTAATATAAATACCTAAATGCCACACATCATCTCATGTAATGTACCAATAATTATTTTTGGTTTATACCCTGTAGTAGCTTTGATTAAAACCTTTTCATTTTCTCCAGCATGGTCAATAAATAACTCATTTTATAAACAAAGCTGATCTGCCATCCTTAAAACTCACAGGCCAAAGTCATTTTAGGTGTGACCTCCTGGATTTAAATCTTTACCCAAAATCTGAGTGGGAATTTCCCCTGGACCTGTGGCAGAGCCAAGGCCGGGGTGCTCGGGGCTCTTACGTTCACACTCCTCCACGTCCAGGTTGAACTGGTGCAGGGCGCCCAGCGTCAGCTGCCGGACCTCGGCCTCCAGCAGCAGCTGCAGCAGCGACGTCGAGAGGTGTTTGCAGGCCGACATGCAGGCGGTCTGGGCCACCTTCCCCTGCAGGACAAACGGACACTCGTCAGGGCCACCAGCACAAAAATCCACCAGAGAACTTCTCCAGAGCAGCCCCCTTGGTAAAGCCACCAGAGAGCTTCTCCAGAGCAGCCAAAATCTCTTCAGTTAAAGACACCAGAGAACTCCTCCAGCCCAGCCCAATCTCCTCAGTTAAAGCCACCAGAGAATTTCTCCAGAGCAGTGTCCTTGGTAAAGCCACCACATAACTCCTCTAGACCAGCCCAGCCCCCTCAGTTAAAGCCACCAGAGAACTCCTCCAGCCCAGCGCAGCCCCCTCAGTTAGAAGCACCAGCACTAAACTTCTCTAGACCAGTGGAAATTCCTCAGTTTAAGCCACCAGAGAACTCCTCCAGCCCAGCCTCCTCAGCGTGTCCCATCAGTGACAGGATCTTCCCACAGCGCTCAACGTCACAACTGCTGTCTTCCAAGGGAATCCCCTCTGGAAGTGCCAGAGGGAAGGGTCAGGCCTTGTTGGGTGCAGCCCCGATCCAGGAGAGCCTTGGGGTGCTCAGAGAGTTCTCATCGCGGGCCTCCCATGGATCATCAGGGAATCCTGGAATGTTTGGGTGGAAGGGACCCTAAAGCCCATCTCATTCCATGGGCAGGGACACCTCCCACTATCCCAGATTGTCCAAGCCCTGTCCAACCCGACCTTGGACATCCAGCCTAGCCTGACCCTCTGTGGCAGGTGGGTCTGCACTAGGAACCAAAGCCACAAAAATGGGGAAACCCTTTGGGACAAGAGCGGGATTTTCCCAAACCCTCAGGCTGACTCCACGGGGAACGATCCCCATGCCTGCGTGTGCAACGCCACGAGGGAGATTTTGGATGGTGGTGCAGCCCTGAGAACAGCTCCAGCAGGAGATTATGTCCTCAAACACTCACAAAGGACTCTTAACACGCTCCCCTGACACCGAGGCGTGCCTGAGGAGCTCTCACCGACTCTTACAAGCTGTGTTTAAACTGGGATTAAACGCGGTGTTTGCGCCGCGTTCCCAGCTCGGTGTCGCCGGTTTCGTTATCGTAGCACGGCGACGTTTGATGCCTGTGCCGGGAAGGGATTTTTCCCAGCTCTGCAAACTTGGTTTGGATCTTCAGGCCACATCCATCTTCAGCAGGAGGGAAAAATGTTTTTTTTTTTTTATTTCAAAAAGGAGCCGAGCCGTGCGTTGCAGGGCAGGGTGCTCCATCTCCCGCCCGCCGCCGCTCCCAGGCTCCGGAGCGTCCATCACTCACCTCCCAACAAACACCTGCACCAAAATGAAGATGAAGCATGGCAACCATAAAGTTTAGCAGAGCTCTGGGGTTTTTTTCTTTGCTTTTCATCATTTGTTTGTGCTTTTCTGACACGCTGGGTTATTTAAAACCCCGCTCGTGCCAATTCCTCATCTCTGAAAGCTGCGGGAAGTACGGCGCTGCCTGGTTGTGATTTTTCTTCATTACTTCCAACAGACGCTCGAGTTTTTGCTGTGGCCGAGGAGTTTGGACAGGATCAGGGAATATCCTGAGTTGGGAGGGGCCCACAGGATCGTGAATCCAAGTCCTGGCCATGCCCAGACCCCCCAACAATCCCACCCTGTCCATGCAAGCGCTGTTCAAGCGCTCCTGGAGCTCCCGCAGCCTCGGGGCCGTGCCCGTTCCCTGGGGAGCCTGGGCAGTGCCAGCATCCTCTGGATGAGGAACCTTTCCCTGAAATCCAGCCTGACCCTGTCCTGGAACAGCTCCAGACATTCCCCAGGTCCTGTCCCTGTCGCAGCTGCCCCTTGGGAGGAGCAAATCCCAATGAGTCTCCCCTGAGCGTCCTCTGCTCCAGCTGGACATTCCAAGTGCCCTCAACCCCTCCGTGAGTCATCGAGATGTCCCAGATGGAAGCAGAGGATGGGAAATCAAAGCTCTGCAGCCAAGCCCTGGCACCCTGCTGAGGACAGGGGACAGGGCTCCGGACCCTTCCTGGAAGAGCAGGAGAAAATCCTGGGAGGAGCTTGCACTCCACATCAGCGGGAATTTACGGAGAGCTGTAACCCTTGGAGAAGCCTTGGAGGTTTTCACACCCAGGTGAACCATGGAATGGCTTGGGTTGGACCTTAAATCCCATCCATTCCCACCCCATCCATGGGCAGGGACAGCTCCCAGTATCCCAGGTGGATCCAATCCCAGTGTCCAACCTGGCCTTGGGCATTCCCAGGGATCCAGGGGCAGCCCCAGCAAATCTGGGAATTGCAGCCCAGGCAGGAATTCCTTGCCAAGATCCCAGCCCAATCTCCCCTTTCCCAGTGGAAGCCATTCCCTGGCTCCTGTCCCTGCAGCCCTTGGCCCCAGTCCCTCTCCAGCTCTCCTGGAGCCCCTGCAGGGACTCTCAGCATTCCCTGCATTTTGCCCTTCTCCAGGGGAACACCCCTCGGGATGAACTTCCTGATACCCACATTCCCCCTCTCCAGGTCCCACTGGATGCTCTCCTTTCCTACACCACACAAAGGAAAAACTCCAGGAGGGTTTTCTGTCCCTACTGACCAAAATGTCAGAGGAACAGCCCCAGGGAGGGGTCAGATCACCCTGTGGAGGGACCTGCAGGGTGACCCACCCCTGCCCTGGGCACCAACTTCAGCTCAGGAGAGAGGGGGTGAAAAACAGCAAAGAACTGAGATGAAATGTCACACAACTAATCCCCAAACAGGGAAAATGGGATGGGAAAAGCAATTTCATCATGGGGGCTTGGCTCTGAGAGGCCTCCCCGAGTGGAAGGGGCTCTTCAGGGTGTTCCTTATGGGAATGTTCTACAAGGATTGTTGCAGAGATGGCAAAGGGGATCCGAACAAGCCCAGAAGCAGCTTCTGGCCCAGCCCTCCTTCCTTCTGCCTTTTCCACACAGGATTAGGCCAGGCCTAAATATATTTCAGGTGCAAAAGTGCACTGTCCTCACTCTGAACCTGAATCTTCTCAGGCCAGCTGAGAACATGACCTTTTATTTCCATTATTCCTGAGGCTCAAACACCTAAAAATCCTTTCTTTAAACAACATTTGGTTTTTCCTCTCAAAGAACACATGGATGCCTCACAGTTTAGACCCAGCATTATCTCAAGAAAAGCAAAAGTATACGGAATATTTTTTTTTTCCTGCTTTTTAAGCCTGAATCCCTTTTTTCCCTTATATTTATTATCAGAGAACTCGGAGATGCCAGAGGAGTTTCAATCACGGTGTTGAATGTCTGCTCAGAGAACAGAAGGTACCACCAGGGATGAGCAGCAGCTCCTGCCCTGGGCACCGAGATTTAAAACCCTCCCAGAATTTATGGCTTTCACTCCTTATAAATAAGACCCAACTTAATCCTTTCCTGCCTCACCCCTGCGCTCCACGAGTTACAGCAGCTCCTTATAAAGTCAGCCGTGGCTTGTGAACATCAATTTCAGGCCATTTCCCCAGGAATACAGCGGGAAATCTGCTGGATAAGCAGCTGCTGCTGACAGGAGACAAACGAGCGCGCGGCCGCTGATATATCAGCACTAATAAGCTGCCGCTGCAGCTGAAGGTTGTTTGTATTCCCGCTTGGAATGGCTCGGCCTGGCAGGAATTGCCTCCTGCCATGGATGCCCATCTCGGCTCTTTGGAGCTTATTTACCACCGAGTTTCACTTCACGGAGTCGGGGGCTTTTTTCCTACTTCTTTTTCTCAGTTTTCCTGCAGCGCTGGAAGAGCCCGGGCTCGCCTGTCCAGAGCTGAGCCCGGCACGGACGTGTTTGCCACAGCTCCAACCCTCCCAAAATTGTTACCTGCCCCAGCCCTCCCAAAATTGTCACCCACCCCAGCCCTCCCAAAACTGTCACCTGCTCAACCCTCCCAAAATCATTATCCACCCTAACCCTCCCAAAATCATTACCTGCCTCAACCCTCCCGAAATCTTTGCCTGCCCCAACCCTCCCAAAATCGTTACCCACCCCAACCCTCCTGAAATCGTTACCTGCCCCAACCCTCCCAAAATCATCACCTGCTCCAGCCCTCCCAAAATCATTACCTGCCCCAACCCTCCCAAAATTGTTACCCACCCCAACCCTCCTGAAATCACCACCCAACCCTCCCAAAATGGTTACCTGCCCCAACCCTCCTGAAATCATCACCCAACCCTCCCGAAATCGTTACCCGCCCCACCCTCGGCGGCGGTGCCAGGACTTGTGCCTTAGCACGGGGCGGGAAGCTCCGAGATGTCATCGTGGCCGTCGCCGCTCCTGAGAGCCCCAGGGGCTGCTCAGAGGAGCCGCCGCGCTCAGCCGGGACGGCTCCGGCCCCGCGCTAATTCCCTGATGATTTTTGGGAGTGTGGCAGAAGCAGGGGCGCTCCCAAAGGCTGTCCCTGTGCCAGCCTGTGCCCTGGTGACATCCTGGTCCTGCTCCCCGGCACGGCTCCAGCCCTGTCTGGATTTCAGGAACAACCTGCCCTGACACCTTGGTCCCTGAGCTCGGGATGAGATCTGGACAGGGAGCAAAGCGCAGGAATGCCACCCTGAGCTGAGCTGTCTGTGGGGAAAGGGGAAAACAAACACCCTGAAGGCATCAATGCTCAGTTTCCAAGGTGCCAGAAAATTGAGGAGCTCCAAAGCACACGGAGCAATCCCAGGAACAGCTCTGTGGGGTTACTCTTGATTTAAGACCTTTGCAAATCCCATCAAAACCTGGATTTGCTCTGGGAAGAACAGGGATCACAGGTGAAAGCTGACAGATCTCCATGGCCAAGATGCCCAAATGCCTCCTTGGTCCAACCTCAGTCAAGCAAAGCCATTCTGAGGGTGTTATCCCAGAAAAATCCATGGATTTATTGTGTTGTGGCTCAATCTGTTTGTAACCGGGGTCCCGGCAATGAATCCCTCTGTCCACGGCTCCTGGTGGAACCTCGGGGTTGCCATGACACCTCAAGGTGACACTGCCCTCCCCGTGCCACCCAGGATCCTGATGGACACACAGGAAGGATCCAGAAGGTTCCCTGTGGCTGTT